TGTTGCTGCTGTTGCTGCTGTTGTTTCTGCTGTTGTTGCTTCTGTTGCTGCTTTTGTTGCTGCTGTTGCTGCTGCTGTTGTTGCTGCTGTTGTTGTTGCTGCTGCTGCTGCTGTTGTTGTTGCTGCTGTTGTTGTTGCTGTTGTTGTTGTTGTTGTTGCTGCTGCTGTTGTTGCTGTTGATGGCCAGTCATGCCCGGAGCAGCAGCATTGGCAGCCATATTGTTATTATTGTTTGGATTTTGTTTATTTTTATCAGCGGTCTTGAGAGGCTCACAAACCGGACATTCCAGACGTGCACAATTCTTCCAGTGAGAAATGATCTGACGAGATGAAGCGCAGTGTGGTACGAGGCACGTCTTGCCGGCTTGACACATCGTCATGTGCGACAAGACGTTCTTCATCGTCTGGCAGTGGGGCAGGTTGCACTGAAACATAAGAACAATGTTACCGCTAATGATGTTAGCAATGTTACCGCCACTCAATATATTGATATATATAAAAAAATCTAAAGTAAAAAATTATGATTTTATAAAAAAAATAAAATGAGGCAACATTCAAATGGCAAAATCCAATGAGGCAAAATCAAATGAGGCAAAATCAAATGAGGCAAAATCAAATGAGGCAAAATCAAATGAGGCAACTGATTAAATCAGTTACCTCATTATCAGAGGTTAAGGCACTTGATGCTAAAATGTCCCCTGGATAATCACTCAGAAAAATATGTCACCTGTCTGACGTCTCCATTGCTCTGCTCCTTCCGCTGGCACTTGTGCGCGTGCAGGAGCAGCACCAGCTGCTGCTGGATGAGCTTGCGCTTCTCAGGGTCTGCTGCTGCTCTGGGCTGTGCACCGGCACCAGTTGCGGCTGGTCCACCCTGCACCCCATCAGGTCGGTTAGGCACCGCAGAACTGGTCGGGACCATGGGGCCACCGCCACCCACCATGACTGGGGCCATGCCTCCAGAATTGTTGGCGTTTGTGTTAGAGCCAATGAGACCTCCTTGGATAGATACAGGCCCACCAGGAGGTCCTGGGCCTACCGGGCCGGTCTGCATGGCTTGTCCTCCAGGCCCAGCAACCATACCCTGGTTGTTGGGCCCAACACCAGGGTTGTTGATGATACCCATGTCCTGGGTTGGGTAGCGTGGGGCCATGTTCATGGTGTGAGGCCGTGTAGGGCCGCCAGGCTGGCCCCCAAGAGACACATCCAGCACTGGACGATGAGGGAAGCATGGGTTGTACTGGCCCCCCATCACAGCCACGTTGCCACCACCCTGACACCATCACAATTCAGTCATTTTAATGTGCATAATAATAAATATGAACAAATAGAAATCTTTCAAATAATGGCAATCATATTAGAGCATCAAAATTCATCATTATTGAGCATAAATTCTCAACTGTGAAGTACTTATATTGTGATGTGGAATAACAACATCAAAGTTATTAATTTTCAAAGCAGAAAGATTGACAAGAATTTGTGTAAGGGCTTTTCAGACATTTTGATTGTTATGCAATCAAGAACAAATAGAAGAATTGTTGGCAAAATTGGAAGGCATGCATAAGTAAATAGATCAAGTTAAAGATAATGTCACAAGTTTAAGAACCTGTATATACTTGTTACTGCTCTACCATCAGCTTAGAATTAAATCATATGCTGAATTCTAGGCTTCATTTACTTATGCAATAAAGATAGTTATATTTGCCAACAATTCTATCAGCTAGCATATTGCTATTTTGATTATTCACATATTGCAGTGATGACATCAAAGACTATCTAGAACAAAGCAGGGAATGGTAGAAAATTAACTTCTGATGTTTCAGACATAGGCATATTAATGAACTAGCTCTCGATTAAACATAATCTAAATTTGTGAAAGAAAAGTTGTCAAAAATTATATACAAATTTTTTAATCCACAGCTCATCAAAAATTATATAAAAATACACATTTTTATTGAGAAATCTTCTGAAAGGGTCAGGTAACAAGTTCTTGCATGTGCATATTATCTTAACTACTAAAGTACCCAAAAATTCATCAGTCAATCACCTTTTGGCAGGGTTGGCAATGATTAAATCAAACTGATTAAATCACTTGATTTTTTTATAAAAATCCACTATTTTTTATATATATATAAATTTATTGAGTGGCAGTCTTTAATTTATTTTGAGGTATTTTTATTTGTGGTTTTGTTTAAATGCACTATGACAAATGGCCATTCTTGAAAGATATAACTGCCCTTTTGCCATCCATATACTGATATTGTTAGTAGGCTAATTGCAACATAAAAAAAACATTTCAAAAAGACAAAAAAGCTGAAAAAAAATCACCAACCCTGCATTTTGAGAGATGCAGTAACAAATTACAGGTGCAGCGTTGAACAAGATGCCATAAAATTTTATTGTTATAATTATGATGCAGTCCCAATTATGAGTTTCTCTTTAAACTTGGGCTCACTGAGCGACCTTTGAATTGCTTGATTTCCATAAAAGACATAAATCAAAGGGGTGCATGCTGGAGGCCAGCTTTGCCAAACTTCACACTTCGTTCATATTCCTTTCCATAGGTAAGAATGATAGAGTGCACAACAGCCTATGAAGTCAAGTGCTCAAAGCCATAGTGCCAGATGTCCACAGCCACAAAATGAGCTTGCCAAAGCTAAACGTGGCCATACTGCATCTGGCCAAACCTCCTCTGACCTAACCTCTTCAGGCCTAACCTATACAAGCTGCAACCTTTCTCCACCAAAAACAAACATGAGCCAACCTAACCTAACCTCATTGGCTGCAAGAAGTTAGAAAGGCAGTCCAAGTGGGCCGGTAGAGCCAGTCATTGGCTGCAAGAAGGTTGTGAGCCAGGACAGTGTCAATAGGTTAGGACAGAGTAGGTAAAGCCCGATAAGGAACTGCCTGCTCATGAGCAAGCATGCTTAAGCAGTGGCTGAAGACCTACGGCGCTATTATCTTTCGGTAGTGTGTTGCTTGTCTGGATTACGGAGTTCAAGCGTAGTCTGCGGCTTCTAGCTCTGAGGCTGAGTAAAGTTAATGAATGGTGAAGCTAGGCGTTTGTGGCCTAGGGCTGTGCCCCCGGGTCAAAGATGGTTCTATTCACCCACACTGCATCAAAGATGATTCTATTCACCCATACTTTATTAAAGAAGGAACCAAATGAAAGGGTTTGCCTCACCTGCAATCTTGGAGCAAGCTGCCCTCCCATGCCAGGATGTCGAGGAACTACATGAGGACGAGGCCCCCCCACCAGGCCTTGCTGCCCCATGAGAGGCCCATTGCTGAGCATGCCGTCCCCAGCCATGCCCCCACCCGATGACACAAGCCCCGGTCCTTTGTTCATGACGCAGGAGGCATTCATATTTGACATGCTTGTCATGGTGTTGGACATAACAGGACCACAGCTTGACATAGGCATGTGGCATGCCATGGTGCTGCTTGCAATGCCACCAGAAGTCATATTTGTGACCATTGGCCCTCCAGTGCCCATGTTGGTAATGGTGTTCATGTTGTTCATATTCATGGCATCATTCATGGAGCTTTGTACTGAGCACTTGACAAGATTAGGGAGTTGTGAAGGCATAGCTATGGCATGGCCTGGCTTGGAATTGTTCATGGAATTAACCATCATATTCTGCTGGGCCATTGAATGCTGCTGCTGCTGCTGCATCATGCCTGAAGGCAAGTTATTCTTCTGGAGCAGATGGCTGAGTTGCTGGTTGGGTTGTGGTTGCTGCTGCCGGTTATCAGGCCCAGCTGAGTTGCCACCACCAGTGACCATACCACCAGGCTCCATGAGACCATTAACACCACTCGTGCCATTGCTGCTGGTGTTTACATTTCCACCAGAAGGAAGACCACCAACACCACTGGCATTGGTGCCACCAACACCTGAGCTGCCACCAGCAGCAGAGCTTGATGATGAATCACTCGGCCACATCAGGTCGTCAGGTAACTCCTTTTCCAGCAGAGCAGCAAATTGGTCTGCAAAAAAGAAATTAGATTCACATTATGCCACAAGAATATACAGCATGGTTGAGCAAATAGAAAAAAGATCAGGTGGAACCTTGGATGTAACCTAGCAAAAAATGAAATGATTAGATTTAACAAAAATAAAAAGCCCAGAACAATGGACAATCAAGTTTGATGAACTTAATATTGAGCATCAACTGCAACACAGTTTACTGCCTTACAGCAAGACAAAAACAATATACTTTATGGTGCAGCTGTATTCAAGGTAAGGGTTGGGGTTAGGGTTGGCAAACAGGCAAAGCTTGGCTCAATGAGGTGAGGGTTGGTGGGGTTTGGCTCAATGAGAGGATTTCATTGAGCTATATTCAACAAGGGAAGAGTAGAGTTTGATGAAGCATGAAATGCTACATTTCTTTCAGATATGGAGTTGGAGTTGAGGAGGCTAGCTTGATTAACCCACAACATAAAAAGTGGGGTCGTGCTGGGGCCACAGCAAGTAATTTATGGTGATTATGTCCAAACTGTTACAGGTATTATTTTCTTGATTTTCCATACCTCCAGCATCACTTCAAGTCCAAGGTTACACATTTCCTTTCCCAAAAAGTTCTTGCAGGAACTAGTGAAAAATTAATAAAATGCTTGGGGAACCAGAAGGACACTTCTTGGTTTATTATAATTTCTTGCTTGATTGCATTTACTTGGGGGTTAACTCAAACAACATGTTGCAGAAGAGCTTCTGACATATATAGGTTATCTGTAAATATTGTGGATGCAATAGTGATAAGGAGAAACTTCTGAGGTACAAAGTTTTACTGGGATCTTCAAAATACCTTGAATCTAGGTTGTCTCGAGTACTTTTGGCCCCTACAGACAAGACATGCTAACAGGTGTACAAAAATAAGCCCTTCTTACCAGAATTTCCTGATTCATAAATCATAATTCAAAAATGCAGAGATAACCCATTGCAAAATCATGCAAAAAGCAAGAGTAACCATTTGCACTAAGAAGCCTAATACCACAGATGACCAGATCGCTTGAGTCAACGCGCTCCTGCGGCAAACCGGACAATTCGCCACAACCAGAAAAATTGGTTTAAGAACTCCCAGATTCCACAAACCAGGTTTCCTCAATCAAACTTGGTAGAGAAAGAAGGGGAAAATGAAGTCATGATTGATAGTGACAATACAAATAAAATAATGAATAAACATGAAGCAGAACAAATATCTATGCTCTAAAACTTGCTTCCAGATGTATGTCCATCTTTTCAATTCAAATGTAGCTTACTTTCTTGCTTTTTAGCACTTTTTTGTTGTACCTTTTAGGAAATTTTGCTAACTGCACTTCTTGAAGAAAAGTTGTGTACAATATTTCTACATTCTCCATGCCTCCAATTTAGATTACAGCCATAGGAGTGAATGTAAAGAAATTTCAACTCGATATGATCAAATGCTGTATGTGGGTAGCATGGTCAGTGCAAAGAGCAAGGAGTTTCTTTTGTATGATGATAACCATTTATTCTTCCGTCAATTTATGTCACTAAATTGCTCCAATTTGTTTCTGCTGAGGTTTACTCTATTGTTCTAATGAGGCCACAATGAAATAACTCACAATGATAATGGTTGACTTGTGGGCATTTTTCAAAGTATTGCAACAACCCATTTTGTTGTTACATGTGTAATTTCTGATGCAATTAAAATCAACAATAAATTAACACAACATCAGCCTTCAACTTCAATGATATATATGTCTCACATTGATTTTAGAGTATTTTTAGTTCTTATTGATCATTGACAATTAGCAATAATGATTAGAACCCTCACAAATGAGAAGCCTACTTGACCACTATCCTCTGCCACCATCATACCTTGGTCTCATTAATGCAATGAATCACAATCAAAAATGTTACAACATCGAGCAATTTGCATGTCTATCGCACTTGCCTGGTATGCCCATACTATGAAGTATGGCAAACAAAGGGCTGGGATACCAAATTCATTGCCTCTAATATGTCAAGATATGATTGGCAAATGCCTACATGCCATCATGCTTCTCCATAGCTTTAAGAAATGGGTGTGGAAAAAACTGTCCAGGGAATCACCAGTTGCGTGAGTGAGGTACATGCAAAGAATGTGTCTGTGGCAGTTATCAATATTTTGAGGTGACCTGGGAAGGATGATACTATGAGAGATTGAGAAGAGATGTATATACAAATTGTGTTTAGGAATCTGTGGAAATCAAAATTGAATGGATGATAAGGGGTGAAATAAAAGTCAGCTTTCATGGTCCTGATTGTATTAGAGAGAGCATGTTTGGAACAGACGGAATGCAACTCAATCCTGAGCAGGAAGGAGGTGCTTGGGCAAAAAGTGAAATTGTGGGTCCAAGAAAATTTGTGGAAGTGCTATGTGTAGAATGACAGAGAAAGAGTGCATGTGATCAGACCTAACAATATGAGAGTGGTGCAAGGGGGACTGATGAATATCAGAGGCTTGGGTCTTGGAAAACATGTAGGCTTGTGCGAAGAGTTGGAAGCACATCAGATGGATATAGTAGGAGTAACTGAAACTCAACTGAGAGAGAATGGATGTCTGAGAATGGATGTGTTGGAGTTATTGTGTGTATGGAGGCTAGGTATGACATGGAGGAAATAAGTGTTGGTGAAAGCGAACTGAGTGAGAATAAACTTGCTGTATAGATCAAGTATGCAACAACAAAGAATGAAAGGATGCAAATGGTGATGATCATATGTTACATGATGGTGGAGGGAGTAAGGTCTGAGTGTGAGAAAAAAGAAAAGCATGCTAGTATAAAGAAAGTACTCTATGAATATAGCCATGAGATGATTGTAGTAATTAGAGACATGAATGGACACATAGGTATACGAGGAGAGCCTGCGAACATGAATGGAGAGCGTCTGAATGATTTTGTGTTTGAGAATGACCTGGAAAACCTGTAAGCTGAGGGAAAAGTTACCTGGAGCAATAAAGAAACTGCTCAGAATTAGACTATATAATAGTGAATGAAAATGCAAGACAAAAAGTGATGTGCATGTAGGTGGACAAGGCTGGTGTGTTTGATATCAGAAGTGGTCATGATAGTCTTGTTACCAAGTTTGAAATGCATGAAATACATGTGAGAGCCTGATCAAAAATTTAAGTTGCAAATGAGAGGTGCTGACTGTGATAACTTCAAGGCAAAACTTAATGATACAGAATGGGAAGTTAAAAACAATGTGAAAACTATGAATATAACTTATGAAAAATGTCTGAATAAGGCTGCCAGGGCCACATGTATAAGACAACTAAGAATGAATGCAAAAACCAAAGAATAAAATCTGGTGGAGAATGGATGTGAAAGTGGCAAGAAACGAATGAAAGAGATGTAATCAAATTTGTAGGCAACTGCAGAAAAAAGGGGCATGAGGGTGAGGACCATAAACAGGAGTATAAGGAAGCATGACTGAGGTATGAAGAACAACACAGAAGAACCAAAACTGTCTTGAGAAATTATATTTCTGAGTCTAAGCAAAATAGAATAAATGAATTTGGTATGAAGGGACAGAGAGTTTGACATAAATTGTATGCCTTCCTAAGATGGAACAAGATGGAAAATGATCTGAGAGTGAATGGGCTGAATTTAGAGGGAGTGTATGTAACAGAGAACAAGATTAGCCTAGGCTATGAAGGAATTCTGGGAAGACATTGGTGGAATGAATGATTTATTTTTGCTAGGCAAAATTGTATCTTCATTAAACCGTAATGATCTGAGTGGCATAGATGATATGAAGTGAAATGAGTTATGAGTGGTGGAGCAAATGAAGAATAATAAGACAACTGGAATAGATGAGAATTTGAGAAACCATATGAGATGTAAAAGTATGGAGGTGAGAGTGCAATTGGATGACTGACCTATTTAATGTTGTATGGAAAAATAAGTGTGTATGTGATGCATGGAATGAAAGCCATGTAACCTTGCTACACATGAGAGGCCACAAGAGCAAGAAAAAAAAAATTAAGAATTACAGGCCAGAATGAATTTGGAAGGTATTTTATGAATCCCGTTTATACATAGGAATTGAACCGTCACTACAATTTCAGAATCTGTTCCTGAATACTCACGTGGAAACTGAAAACTAAAGTTGAATAGAAAATGGAGTCTTTGAAACAACAAAATACATAGATTTAAAATATTTAGAAGAGTGAGAAGATTGAAAGAGTCATGAGTAAAAATTTGTTTCTTGGTATAAAGGTCATGAATGCTCACGTGGAAACTGAAAACTAATGTTGAATAGAAAATGGAGTCGTTGAAACAACAAAATACATAGATTTAAAATATTTAGAAGAGTGAGAAGATTGAAAGAGTCATGAGTAAAAATTTGTTTCTTGGTATAAAGGTCCAAATATATTTAAAAGCTTAACTTGAACTGAATACGCAGTATATTGAAGGCTTTAACACTACAATGTTCACTTCAGTTCATTACTACACCAATCAACTAAATTGCCAATGATGCATGAAAATTTACCAGTAATTTTTCTAAAATGAGATAATTGGCAAGTGTATATTGAAATCCACTGCCGCATTGCCAACCATAATCCGGAAAAATGCAGTTGCATGGGTGCTTTCATTGTATAAACATTTATGTGGTTTTGCTCCCTCAAATAGCCTCAGAGTCTGCATCTTGTTATTGATGTTAAACTCATCTTAGTGGTGTGATTTATTATTAATTTGTTGTGCTTGACAAACAAATTTCTAAAAAATTATTTAGTCTAATTGAAATCTTAAAGGTTTGCAACCTTCATTCTTGATTCTTTCAAGTGTAACTTTAATCCCTTCTATTTTTATCCTTTCTATCTCAACTAAAATTTTTGGACCAAAAAATAGGCAGGAGTGGATTGAAAATAATACGTGAACCCTCATTTTCAGAATTCCATCCTGCATTTCTAGCATTATTGTACAAAAGATTATGGCATAAATTTTGACTAGAAAGGGAAATTACAAATGAACCAGTGCTAAAAAATCTGTGGCAGGACACTATGCTTAGAAAGTTAGAAGCCATAAGATTTCATACATCTACCAAAATTCTCTGTTACAAGCGCTGAAATATTTATTAAAAATATGAGGTTTTTCTAAATCCCAGATCAGAAAAACAGAAAAAGTAATTCTGAAAAGTTATTTGGAGACAATAAAATAATTTTATTCGCTGTTAAAAGTATTTGAAATTCTTTTAATTGCTCTGCTGGTCTAAAATGCAGAAAAAAATTTAAAAATGCAAAAATTAATATTGATACATCATGTTTAGAAGAATTTGTCAAATAAAAGGCTTCAATTTAGAATTTCATAGGCATTCACAGTTTCACAAACTAGTGAATAGCCTAGTGAATTAGGCCTATGGAAAAAAGTTGAATTCGTGACAAATGTTTAATAAACTAATGCAGAACCAATTTCAACCAAATATTCATTAAAGTTAAATCTTCACTTTCCCTGGCTCTGATTGCCAAATTTAATGAATAACAAATCTTTCCAACTCCAAACAGAACGTTTTGTAATCAGCTGGTTCGCCACTCGAGAAAGTAGATTTTGGAAATATTAGGTATAATCATTAAAGGCGAATAAACCATTAAAAAAATAGGTCTTTTACGTAATTCTGGTCGAAAATCTGCAAATGGAAATGATTAGTAAGCCTCACCCTCGTGGTTGGCCGCGTAATTATCCATCTTGACGCGCTTGTTCGGAGGCTCCGACGAGCTCTGCTGGTCCGCCATGGCGTCTCTTGTTTACAATCAAACACTACGCAAGAAAACCAATTCTACGATTTTCCTGTTATAATTTTCTTCACACAACATTGGAAACTCTATTCTTTGCAAACTGTCACGACATATTAAACGTTAGCAATGAAGTAAACACGAGGAAGTTAGTCCGTGAAAGAAGCGGGAGCAACGGAGCGGCATTGTAACACGGGCTCCGTGCCAGCACTGACTTGAAATGCCTTTACACTTGCTTCAATTTTGAACTATTTTCCGAACAATTCTCTAGAAGTAAAAACCTACCAAGCAATGGTATTTAAAATCACGGTAACAAAATATTTCACATATCTGAAAGAGTTTTCTTACAGACGCATGAAGAAATATTAGATAATGCTGAATCCAAAATGGCGTCTTCCTAGTATCGTCTCCTACGCTGAGAGCGCCTTGCCACAATTCCTCTCGCACTTCTAACGCAACTGAGCACAAAGTTCGTCTTCAGGCCATCAGAGCTAGCGCCCTCTACTAAATGAAGTTACAAAAACATGAATCACAAGATAAATGTTGTTATAAAATGAAAAATCGTGCACAGAATACGTCGTTCAATATTTTCATATGATATTTGTAATTTTTATCTCACTAAATTCATTGTATTTTGGAAGATTAATGTTTTGTTGGTTTCATGTGAGTGCAATGGTGAAAGAAGTAGCCATTGGTAGAACTTACCACGTGACTTGAAAGTCTCGTTTGATTGGACATCTGAATCAAAGATGGCAACAACGAAACTTCAATTAATGTTTACTAATAAAACGGGATAATAATATCAATTTTTACACGAGAAAGCACTTCAAGAGCATTGCTAAAATCCAATAAAACTCATTGTTGCAAGTTTTATAGCTGGATAGACTGTAGCTTCTCTCCTATTATGCAAAGGAACATCAAAATGGTATTTCATTAAAATATCCAAAAAGATTACTTTTGCTCACTATAAAAAGAAAGAAACATAACTTTTTTATTTCAAAGGTATATTATATATGAAAATCTTCAGATAATATCTGCAATATTCATAACATTGATAGGAATGCTTTTTAAAAGAGTTTTCATGGCTGCCGATAAGGTGTTGTTAGGAGTTCAAATCATCAGGTAAAATTTCCAAAGAAAAAATAAGCTTACAAGTGTATCGCCTTTAATCGTGGGAGAATAATTCTCTCTAATAACGCTATATAATTACTTTTAGCCTTGATTATCAGTTACAGTAACGGTTTGAACCTGTAAATTAAAACTATTTTTACAAACGTTTTGTGACGTCCCCGTGTTTCAGCTGCACCAAGGCCACGGTTTTGTCTACTTTCGCTAGCCGAACTCAATACAAGTCAGAAACTTCGAGATAATAATGTGAAGTTTGCGTTGTTCGAAAAACTCATTTATATAAAAATGACAATCTCGAAGGTTGAATGTAAATCCGCAAAAATTAATTCTAAATCAAGGAGGCTAACGGAAATAATGGCTAAAAAGATGCCATCAGTTGTCGTATTGAGCAAATATTAATTAATGCTGGATTTGATCTTGTATGTTCAAGAAAAGATGTGAAAAAGATTACATGTTTATTAATACTCAAACCTGAGTTATAATTTAGAGGTAATAAAATCTTTATATATAAATTTAGGCATTTGTAATATGATAAAAATTATAATAATAATATCCGACGATTTATATAATATATGTATTTGGTCTCTCAAGCGATTCTTAAAAAATAAGGAAACCTTGCAGTCTTTGCCAAAATCAAAGAAAATTAAGATATATACTTATTTTCAGCAGTTGATATAATTCTACTCAATTCGGAACCTTCCATTAACATTTCTAATGACCATGCGTTGACTTTTGTAAGAAATAATGAACTTAAATAAAAGTACCTCAAATTCTTTTACTTAGGATCAAGTTCATAGAAAATAAATTATATAGCGATTATATATCGGTTATATAGCGGTTATATAGCGGTTATATAGCTGTTATATAGCGGTTATATAGCGGTTATATAGCTGTTATATAGCGGTTATATAGCAGTTATATAGCGGTTATATAGCAGTTATATAGCGATTATATGGCAGTTATCAGAGCTGGGCAGCGCTACTTTGAAANTCGCCCATATTCTGACCAGAAACTGTTGCAGGTAGCTGGGTTCGAACCCGCACCTCTCAGCCCAGCAATAATATCAATTATCGTTTAATTTTTTAATCCTTCCTGATGACGTGGCATGCGATTGAAATTTTGACTTGCATCTTAATAATTATTAATAATTAGTAAACAATAAATTAGATTAGCAAACAACATATAGACCTCGATGAAATATTCTCATCAGAATAAAAATAAAAAATAGCGAATAAATCCAGAGAAAAAGAAAGCGAAGCGACAAACTTGCGATCAAATTTGCTTACTGTTGCCGAAAGTGGCCGCTTTACTGTCGCTCCAGAGGATCTAGTGTAGAAGATATTATAATTGTAATATTTAAATATTTTATTGATTTTTCTATGATTATTAACAAGGTGATGACTAACTGGAACTTATTACCTTCAAGTGCGTGTAGTGCAAGGCAGCACTCATAAAGATGCTTGGGTCAAACTGTCCAAATAATGACAATATTTTTGCAGCGATCAATTTTTGGCTCTCACGCCGGGCCAAAATGGGTCAAAATGACCCACACGGGAGCAAAAAGTGCTTGATTTTTAGACAAAAAGTCTCGTACATTTTTTGAGTGTAAGTTCAGACGTTCATAATAAGTTTTATAAACTGGCCCGAAATGACGCGTAGGTGGCAACACTGCAATGTTCCAAGAGACCGCCAGGTGGCAACACTGCAATGTTCCAAGAGACCAACAGGTGGCAACACTGCAATGTTCCAAGAGCTGTCTCTTATACACATCTAGATGTGTATAAGAGACAGGTTCCAAGAGACTGCCAGGTGGCAACACTGCAATGTTCCAAGAGACCGCCAGGTGGCAACACTGCAACGTTCCAAGAGACCGCCAGGTGGCAACACTGCAATGTTCCAAGAGACCGCCAGGTGGCAACACTGCAATGTTCCAAGAGACCACCAGGTGGCAACACTGCAATGTTCCAAGAGACCGCCAGGTGGCAACACTGCAATGTTCCAAGAGACCGCCAGGTGGCAACACTGCAATGTTATTCTTATGGATTGATTTTTAAACTAATATATTTATATAATTCATGCCATCACGCTAACTCATGCTTTTCTGATTTGTTGATCATGCTTGATTTGCAGCCTTTTTGTTTATTTATAATGGAAATAAATATTATTTTAAAAATGTATTATTATAATATTTATTAATTATAATATATTTTAATTATAATTGAAATAAATATTTTTAAATATGTCATAATAATAATATGCATTATATATAATTGAAATAAGTACTAGTTAAATATATTATAATAATTTTATATATTATTTATAATTGAAATAAACATTAGTTAAATATATCGTAATAATAACATATATTATTTATAACTGAAATTGACATTTCTTAAATATATTATAATAATAATATTTATTATTTATAATTGAAAATTTTCCCGATGATATTTTTTGGTGTCGAAGATGCAACGCCCGCATTAAAATATTGTACGCATACACGGAGAAATAAGTGAGCCTTTGTCCAAATAGCGAGGCACGTCTTGGAGTTATGTGAGTCATGTTGACTCACTTCTGCCTAGCCTGCATGCGAGTGTTACTCATGCCACACACACACCGCCTGCTACACTCATACAAATGTATGGGTAATATTGTTCATGTAGTGACACATCTTTTGTGTGCACCGCTGATGCGTTCTTGTTCTGACCAAAGTCAAAATCACTTCACGTTTTTTTATAAATGTATAATATAATGAAAATATGGCGATCACTGTAGGGTTTAATAGCATTTAAAATGTACATGTTCTATTAAAAGCTCATTTGTATGCTCCTTGCTACGAAATATTATATGAAATGAATTTGAAATTTTCTTGGATAAATAAATATTCATGGAGATTGAAATACATAACGGAAGCGTGCGTACAGATGAGAAACACATTTTAGGTTAGATTCAACAATTTAATTTATTTTATTATATATGATCAAATGAAATGCCCGTAGATAAATGATATAGGTCAATTGATTTCAATCTGACTATTATGAATAATAATTTCACGTTATTGATGATAAAGAAATTGATTTGATAATAAATTATCGGTCAGTTCTCGCCCCATGTTTCATGAGTAGACCTACGCGGGCTGGTAGTTCGGTCTCCTAGAGATCAGAAACCGGTTCGAGATTAGAAATTTAGATTCCAGAAAGGGAACGGGCAGCATCGAGTTTCTAAAACCAATTCTCTTAAATTGAAAAATATTCCAGGAAAAAGTATGATTAACAACATCGAATTTTCGTGAACGATTTGGTTATCTTATCTATGCAACAGTCGAGGATATGAGCTTGATGCACGTGCTTAGCTTGATTATTAAATTTAAATAATACATTAATATTCAGTCGTTTCATAATATGCTTCTTAGACGATATGCTTCATGGTCGGCAGGATGACCTTTGTGTTATACTTCTATATATAGTTCAAAAATATATTCATGGAATTAAAAACGTTCAATTTATTTTATCGAGGACGAGAAAAAATCTTGACTGTGAATGTATAATTACGTTTCACAATCTGTCTCAGGTAAAGAAATTTTGTTGTATTTAAAGGTAAAATATTATAATTTTATATCGTGGGACCCTTTACTTACAACCATATATGATTTTCATCAGTCGGAGTAAAGTTCCGTTTGAATCGGATGATAAATTAAATAAAAATGTTTATACTAAAATGAGGCATTTTCTTTTATAACAACCGTTTTCTCTATATGAGACTTAGAGGTGTAACTTCGATATTCGTATGCGGAGAAAGTTTATGTGTTGTCCAATTATCCAAGAAGAAAGAAATATAAGTAAATTTTTAGAAATTATTTATATTGAACAGACAAAAAAAGAAATATAAAATGCAATGTAATTTTTTTTAAGAATTATTAATATGGAACCGAGAATTTTTCCGAATATTCTCAGAAAATATGTAAAAAACGCAATCGTTATCTGATTGCCTAACGAAAAATTTTATTGAAAAAAAATAAGCGTATTTTTGTGATGCAATATATGTACCACTTAAGAGAATAAGGAATTTTTACGTTATTATATCTAGTTTCTTATTTTAAAAAGAGAGGGCAAGCTTCCCATAGCTTATGTTTGATCCACAGAGAGATAAATTGCAGTTCAATTTGTTACTAGTGATTTGTACTGCAATCGATAACTTTTTACATCTACAGTGTCACGACGACCGATCGTTAGCCTGTACTTGTACACGAGGACAATAGTACGCCCGCATTAAAATTTGCGTACGCATACACAGAGAAATGTGTGAGTTTTTTTGTCCAAATAGCGAGGCACGTCTTG